GAACAGGAGCCACTGCCTTCAGTTTTTTTTTTTTTTTTTTTTTTTTTTGAGACGGAGTTCCGCTCTTGTTACCCAGGCTGGAGTGCAATGGCGCGATCTCGGCTCACTGCAACCTCCGCCTCCTGGGTTCAGGCAATTCTCCTGCCTCAGCCTCCTGAGTAGCTGGGATTACAGGCATGTGCCACCATGCCCAGCTAATTTTTTTGCACTTTTAGTAGAGACGGGGTTTCACCATGTTGACCAGGATGGTCTCGATCTCTCGACCTCGTGATCCACCCGCCTCGGCCTCCCAAAGTGCTGGGATTACAGGCTTGAGCCACCGCGCCCGGCCTGCCTTCAGTTTTTTAAAGCGCTCCTCATTAAGGTCAGGTGTCTTCCAAATTCGGAGAGTTTCCCCAGCCGAAGCAATACCATTATTTAGAAAATTGGTTGTAGCGAAATATACAAGGTTAAGCTTCTTCAGCTGAAGCAATGCAATTATTCAGAAAATTGGTTAAAGTGTAATTGCAGGAAAGGAAAAGCCATTTCTGTCACCAACATAAAGGGATTCTTTTCAGAGAATGCATAAATGAGTCCTTAAAGGCTCTACCCACTCTCCCTCCCTGCAAAGCAAAGGAATGGGATGGAGAGACAGAGGCTGTGGAGTAGCAAGCCTCAGAACCTTGTGGAACTTTCTGTTTTCAGCTGAGATGAGTTGTTCATTAAATAGAGGTCATCCAAGGTGTGACGGGAACCACCAAGCCCTGGTTTTCTGGGCACTAGAGGACAAGAAAGTTGTAGCTCGACCCACAGGCCAAAGCAGTCCTGGCCACATATTTTGACAAGCTCAGCCTGCAGAAAGCCAAGAGCATTCTGACAAGCCAGTCACTGGAACAAGTAGATTTTTCACTTAACCCTTGGCAATTATTAGCTTGATAATGGGCATCTGCTACGTGTAGCTGAAGAGTGAACAGCTAAGATATTACTAGGCAGAAAAAAACAAGTTTACAACAGGGTAGAATGACTTAGGACTCCCTGCAAACACTGATTGAGCACCTATTCTGTGGCAGGAACATTCACATGCATTAACTCAGCCCTGGGTGACTCCAGGGTTGGGGGGCGGGTAGGGAAGCACCATCACTGCTGTCATTTTAAGTAAGAAACTTGAGGCTCAGACAGGTTACACTTCCCGCCCAACATCACACAGTAAACACGTGGCAGAGCTGGAACTGGGTTCCAGGATTCTAGGTCCCAAAGCCAGCTTGTTCCCATCACATTCGAGGATGCCCTATGTGTAAACAGTGTTGTTTAATAGCTTTATTGAGATTTAATTCACACACCCTGCAGTTCACTCACGAAAGTATAAGATTTCATAGTTTTCAGTGTCTTCAGATACGTGTAGCCATCACTATAGTCAACCTGACTGACTGATTTTTTTGAGACAGAGTCTCGCTCTGTCACTCAGGCTGGACTGCAGTGGCACAATCTTGGCTCACTGCGACCTCCAGCTCCTGGGTTCAAGCGATTCTCTTGTCTCAGCCTCCCAAGTAGCTGGGAATACAGACACGCCCCACCACGCCTGGCTGATTTTTGTATTTAGTAGAGATGGAATTTCACCATGTTGGCCAGGCTGGTCTTGAACTCCTGACCTTCAGTGATCTGCCCACCTCAGCCTCCCAAAGTGCCAGGACTACAGTCATGAGCCACCGTGCCCAGCCTCCCGTCAACTTTAGAACATTTTCATGGCATCAACGAGAAACCGTGTCCTCTTTTCATTGTCACCCCATTCCTCCCCTTCCTCTGCTCCAGCCCTTGGAAACCACTAATCTACTTTCTGTCTGTATAAATCTTCCTGTTCTAGACATTTCACAGGAATGGGATTGTAACCGGGACTTTTCTTAAGCGCCGGTGAGGCACAGCTTCCCTGAGAGAACGCTGTGGGTTTTCGGCCTCCGACCTTTTAAAGCAGAAGCAGCGGGGCCAGCGCAGGTCTCACCTGTATGCTAGTAAAAGTAAGTACTGGGGCCGGGCGCGGTGGCTCAAGCCTGTAATCCCAGCACTTTGGGAGGCCGAGGTGGGTGGATCACAAGGTCAAGAGATCGAGACCATCCTGGTCAACATGGTGAAACCCCGTCTCTACTAAAAATACAAAAAATTAGCTGGGCATGGTGGCGCGTGCCTGTAATCCCAGCTACTCAGGAGGCTGAGGCAGGAGAATTACCTGAACCCAGGAGGCGGAGGTTGCGGTGAACAGAGATCGCGCCATTGCACTCCAGCCTGGGTAACAAGAGCGAAACCCCGTCTCAAACAAACAAACAAACAAACAAAAGTAAGTACTGGACCAAGAAGTGTTGCAGAAAGGTGATTTTATTTAGGTAGAGCAAAGAGAAGAAGAGAAAGACTTCTACGAAGAGTACGGAAGGGGATTCTAGAGGGGAAATCCCGAGGGAGCTCTCACCATGTGGAAGGGGATTCCAGAAAGCTGGAAATTTGGCGTGGGTGAAGGAGCAGGGGAATTTATCCTGGGAGAAATTCCCACCTTCCTAAGTTCCTCTGGCCAATGAAAGGAGTCCCTTTAAACTTCCGCTGGGGTGATTGACTTTTAGTTTCTTCCCGCGCCCCCGAAATATAAACATAAACCGTTAAATTTCTCGGATGGAGAGAGATGGGAGGGGTGCATGGCGCTGGGAAACTTTCGCCCTTAAAACTTCTCATTGTTCAACACCCACCTATGAGTGAGAACATGGGGTGTTTGATTTTCTGCTCTCGTGTCAGTTTGTTGAGAATGACGGCTTCCAGGTTCATCCATGTCCCTGCAAAGGACACAAACTCATCGTTTTTGATGGCTGCATAATATTCCATGGTGTATATGTGCCACATTTTCCCTGTCAACAACCTTGCATGTTCTTCACATGTATCCCCAAACCTAAAATGCAATAAAAATAAAAAAAAAACAACTTCACCCCCTCATGGACCTGGAAACAGAACAAATTCCCTCAGGATCCTACAACGTGTGGTCTTTTGTGAATGGCTTTTTTCATTTAGTGTATTTTCCAGGTTCATCCAGACTGTAGCATGGATCAGCCCTTCATTTTTTATAGCCAAATAATCTTTCAATGTCTGCAAATATCACAAATATTTTTCTAGTTGTCAGTCAAGGGACATTTGGGTTGTTTCCACATTTTAGCTATTGTGAATAGTGTTGCTTTGAACATTTGCATACAAGTTTTTGTGTGGACACCTGTTTTCACATCTGTGAGTAGATTCTAATAGTGTGAGAGGGCAGGACAGGGGCAGAGCAGTAGAGAGAGCGAGCAGTGAGGGGAAGAGAGACACAAAGACAGGGAGACACCGCGCACCTGCAGGCTCACACACACAGAGACCCGCAGAGGGAGTGACGGACTGGGACATACACACACATGGACACACGTGGAGAGGCAAACACAGCATCAGAGAAGCACAGGGCACATCCAAATAGGTGCTCAGTCAGTGTTTGCAGGGAGCCCTCAGTGTTTATACCTCACTGTAAGCTTAACTCTTTTTTTCCTGCCTAGTAATGTCTTACCTGTTCACTATTCAGCAACACCTAGCAGATGCTCATTATCAAGCTAATAATTACCAAGGGTTAAGTTAAAGATCTGCTCATTCCAACTCATCTCCCACAAGCCATGTCCCAGGACAGCAACGGAGGCTTCCCTGCGTCTACCTGGCTCCGTGTCAGCCAAGGGCAGGGAGGTGCCCCTGTTCCACAGGATCCCGCCAGCACAGGAGGGAGACCCAGGACTGGCACAAAAGCTGATTGTAAAGCTTAACTAGAAGCTGAGCCCTACTGACTTCAGACCTTTGGGGAAATCTGTTTTGAAATCCCCAACCCATTTTCTTCCGTGGTAAGCTGAGGCTGCAGAATGGAATGGAACAGGATGGGAAGGGGAAGAGGCTGGGAGTCAGAGGTGGGGGTGCAGCACTCCCAAGCAGGGGCCTGGCTAATCTAAGGACTAATATCAGCTTGGCTACTCCTCAGCTGCGGGACTCAGGAGAGCAGACCACTGCTGAGCCTCGCTCTCTCATGTGGAAGATATAAATCAGATCAGCCTCTCGTGGCTGCTGAGGGAAGGTGACGAGATCATTCACGTGAGTGTTGGCATCACTCACAGGTGAGAGGTGTAAAACTGCCTGACATGAGCAGATGCGAAGACATAACGCTAGTTCAGTCTTTCCCCTTATTCCAGAAGAAGTCTGCAGTGCTTTCTAGGGGACAAGGAGGTGACTAGAAATGTCACATCCTCTCCACCACGAGGCTCACCCAGAAAGCAATGTTCTGTGCATAGCGTAAGGGTTCCAGGAAGGCAGGAACAAGGATAATTTTTGTAACATCTCTTCCAGAGGCCCAGCACTCCCACCCCTAGAGACTTACTTAAAGGAAGTAAAATGAAATGAAAGTAAACAGACACCAACGTTCATCGCAGCCTTATTCATCACAGCCAAATGCTGAAAACAGCCCAATCCACCAATGAAATACCCACCAAATGGTGAGCAGACAACAGAGCATGGCACATCCACACAGTACACTGCCACTGAGCAATAAAAATGGGCGAATTATTGATACACACAACAAAAGGGAAACATCTCAAGGCATTCTGTGGCGAGAACACAGGCGCAGGGCAGCACAACTCCATTTGCATAAGGTTCTAGAACAGCGAAACTGTCCCACCCATGCATGGGTGCCTCTGGAAGTGGGTGGGAGTGGCCATTGACCGGAAAAGAGCACTAGAGGACTTGCTGGGTGATGAAAACATTCTCGATGCGGGTATGAGTTCCAACGTGTACACAATCGTCAAAACTCATCAAACTGTAAAACTTAAAGTCTGTGCATTTGACTATACGTAAATTATGCCTCAAAAAAAGCAGCCGATTGGGAAAATGCATCTGTCAGAGGCTTGTCTACATGATACCTGGCTGCCAGGGAGGACACCCCACCTCCCACGGGTCCCTCTACAAACAAACACCAACACCAAGCTTACATCAACAGCTTCCTTGTCCTTCGGCATCTGCACCTCTCTCCTCCTCCTCCTCGATGGGGAGCCAGTTTCCAAGGGGGTCTGCGCATTCGACTCCAAATTCCTGAGCAGATTTTGAGTGTCGTCTTTCTAAAACCGGAAGGCCAGGAGTTGAGGGTGGATAGAAACACAACATTGATGTCAGTCAGCCTGGTCCCCACTGTGACTTTTGCCAGTCAACTGCCCCAGTCCAGTGGCCACTTCCACCTGCCTCTGCGCTTCGACACGAGCTTGGCCCTCTGTGTGTGATGCCTCCTACCCCACATGGGGTCTGCACTGATGTCCTCCTAATCCCTCCAGGGTGCCCCATCTCAGGGCACCCTCAGGACTTGGAGCAAGATGCGGAGCAAAGCTCGTTCCATTTTTCCTGTAGGTTGAGGTCCCCGCTGGACTGGGAGTTCCTTCGATTTAACAACTAAGCATGGGAAATGGCCCATGCATATTAATTTTCCTGTTGATTTTGATCATCTGCTTAATGGTTTTTAAGAAAATATGTTAGGTGACCTTAAGTTATAGAATAGTCTCTATTCTGAACTACAACGAGTGCTCCTGATTTATGGATTCTGTATCTGCCAATTCCTGTAGTTGCTAAAATTTACTTATGACCCCCAAACCAATGCTTATGGGTCTTTCACAGTTATTCATGGATACATGCAGAGCCTGAAAAATCTGTGTTGCCCAGCGTGCACATGCTCAGCTGAGATGGAACAAGGCAGGACTCTGCCTTCTTGTCTCTGCTCTCAGGCTGTAAACAGACATCCTGTTCATACTCTAGTACCACAGTGTTTGCATTTCTGTGCTTTTTCTTGGTGGTTTTACTGTTTAAAATAACCACCACCAAGCACCATGCAGTAGTGCTCTCTAGTCTCCTGAAATACAAGAAGACTATGACATGCCCTTTGGAGAAACGGCTGTGTTATAGAAGCTTCATTCAGGTATGAGTTACAATGCTGTTGTCTGTGAGTCCCATGTTAATACATCAAAAACATGTGTTAAATAAGATATCTTTAAACAGAAACATACATAAAACAATGCTATGTATTGACTGGTTAATGGAAATGTGACCAGAGGCTTATAGGAACCTAATGCTGGTTTTCCCCTAGGAACAACAGTTTGGTGTTCACTAATGCTGTGTTCTCAGCAAGTTTATAGAACATAACTACCACGAATAAAGAGAATAAACCGTATTTAAAATTCTGTTACCCAAGGCCGGCCGCGGTGGCTGAAGCCTGTAATCCCAGCACTTTGGGAGGCCGAGGCGGGTGGATCACAAGGTCGAGAGATCGAGACCATCCCGGTCAACATGGTGAAACCCCGTCTCTACTAAAAATACAAAAAACTAGCTGGGCATGGTGGCACGTGCCTGTAATCCCAGCTACTCAGGAGGCGGAGGCAGGAGAATTGCCTGAATCCAGAGGGCGGAGGTTGTGGTGAGCTGAGATTGCGCCATTGCACTCCAGCCTGGGTAGCAAGAGTGAAACTCTGTCTCAAAAAAAAAAAAAAAAAAAAAAAAAAAAAAATTCTGTTACCCCAGACACTTAACCAACTTCCTCTTTAATCACTAGCTGCTCATGAATTTAATCTTTGAACTAAAGAAATATTACCAGTTTGTCACTGAGTTAATCAGCTACTATTATCGAGCATCTGCTTTGTGTCAAGACTTGTTCTAAGTACTGGGAATAGAGTAATGAACAAAATACACAGCTTCTGCTTTTGTGGCATTAACATTGCACTGAGAGAAGAAAGATGCAAACACATTAAAAAAAACACGTGGTAAGTCAGGGACGACCCATGTTCTAGAGTAACAGTGGAGGCTGGGAAGGATGCTGGGAGGCAAAGTCTCTTGGACAAAGTGGCATTTGAGTAGGAACTTAAAAGAAGTAAGGCCACCAGCCATTGAGATATCTCAGGGAAGAGCACTCCAGAGAGAGAGAGACTAGCAAGTGCAAAGGCACTGAGGCAGGCCCATGCTGGGCATGGAGAGAAGCCTGCACAGATGCAGCAGGCTGGGGTGGGCCTTGGGGTAGACGATGACGCCAGAGATTTTGAGGGTTGTTTCTTTATCAACCCTAGCTGGCCAGTACAAGGGTTCTGCAAAGAAGGACCCAATCAAAGCCAGGCACAGTGGCTCACACCTGTAATCCTAGCACTTTGGAAGGCCGACACAGGCAGATCATGAGGTCAGGAGTTTGAGACCAGCCTGACTCACATGATGAAGCCTTGTCTCTACTAAAAATACAAAAATTAGCTCGGCATGGTGGCAGGTGCCTGTAATCCCTGCTACTTAGAATAGCCTGAACCTGGGAGGCGGAGGTTGCAGTGAGCCGAGATTGTACCACTGCACTCTAGCCTGAGCAACAGGGCAAGAATCTGCCTAAAAAAAAAAAAAAAAAAAAAGTCAGAAAGTCCTACAGTAAAAACACTGGGGAAAAAAAATATCTATCCCACAGAGGGAGCACCAGCATCACTTGAAAATGACCAACGGGTTACCAGCCATTTGAAGACAGACTCTAATATGAAAGATAAAATCCAAAACAAAAGGAAAAAAGCAAGCAGGAAACACATTATGCAAGGGGGAAAAAAAACCTTAAACAAATAAACAAATATAATACGATCAGAGAGATCACAGAAGATATTCCATTCACAAAACAAGAACAAGATAGAACATTCTCAGAACAAAAAAGGACTCTTGAAAATTGAAAATACAAAAAATCGAATACAAGTATAAAGTTGAGAAAAGTCTCTCTGTAATGTAAAAACGACAAAGAGATGGGAAGTGAGAGAGGAAGACTAGGATTAGAAGCCCAATTCAACCTAAAAAAAAAATGATAGGAGTTTCTGGAAGAAGAGAACTCCTTCGTCCAGAAGAAGGAAAGAATCATCAAAGGAAAAGGATCATCAAAGAAAGCAAGAAAATGATTCTGGATCGAAAGGACACTTCAAAGGCCTGGCACTGTGGGTGACAAACGACTTTTCACCAAGACCATCCTGGCACAATTTCATTTACTGGGAGCAAACAAAAGGTTCTTTAAGATTCTACAGAGGAGGCCGGGCGCGGTGGCTCAAGCCTGTAATCCCAGCACTTTGGGAGGCTGAGGCAGGTGGATCACGAGGTCAAGAGATCGAGACCATCCTGGTCAACATGGTGAAACCCCGTCTCTACTAAAAATACTAAAAATTAGCTGGGCATGGTGGCGTGTGCCTGTAATCCCAGCTACTCAGGAGGCTGAGGCAGGAGAATTGCCTGAACCCAGGAGGTGGAGGTTGCGGTGAGCCGAGATCACGCCATTGCACTCCAGCTTGGGCAACAAGAGCGAAACTCCGTCTCAAAAAAAAAAAAAAAAAAAAAAAAAAAAAAAAAAAAAAAAAAAAGATTCTACAGAGGAGCAAAAGGAAAAGGGGTTTTGTGTAAAGTATCAAGGATCAGAATAGAATCGGTTTCCTCAACAGCAACAGTGGAAGTTATGAGATGAAGCAGGGCTCCACCCTGCTCCTTTTTAGGAGCCTGCAAATCCCCTGCCCTAAGCATGCAAATAACAGAAAATCCTGACTTTCCTCAAGAGAAATTATCAGCAACTTGATAAGCAAGAAGGTAACAGCAGCTTAAAGCAATAGCCAAGGAAGTTAGAGTCGGGAGATGCTTGGTTTCCCTACAGAAAGTAAAGATAACATAATAAGTCTCTGAGTTGTTTTCAGAAACCTGGACCCCCATCAAATGGATCCACCCTGAGGAACCATGGCTGAGGTGCTCTGCTGCCCCTTCTCTGAGATCTAAACTCTGAGCACCATTCTTTGTTCGAAAGTTCCTCCTGGGGGACTCAGAGAAAGTCATGCCCAGGAGCCTGAGCTAACATTCTTTTCTGCTGAACCCACATTTTAAAACAGAGCTTCTCTTCCTTGACAAAATAGCAGATCGGAAAATCTTTGAATCTACCTCCGACCTGCAAGTCTCCACTTCAAGATGTCCCGCTCTCTTAGGCTGAAACCAACTGTAACCTCCATGTATTGATTTAAGATTTTGCCTGTAACTTGTGCTTTCCTGAAATTTACCTTTACCTTTAAAAAACCTCACCTGCAAGTCATCAGGGAGGTCACGATTTGAGGATGAACTGCCTAGTCCTCCTGACTTGGTGTTCTGTGAATGAACACCTTCCTTTTTACCTCAGTGTGGCAATCTGGTCTTACTGTGCCAGGTGGGTGGCACCCAGTTTAGTTCTACAATAGTTAGAAGACAATGAAAAAATGCCTTCAAAATTCTGGCAGGAAATTATTTCCAAGCTAATTATTCTAACCAAATTAAGTATAAAGATAGAAGAATATATTTTCAGACACAGAAGTCCTCAAAAGAGTTGCATCCATCCCTTTTTAAAAAGGCTACTGAAGGATGTTCTCCAGGCATGCAAGGAAATTAGCTAAAGAAAGGGGAGAGCAGGGGAATCCTGAAAGAGGATTCAACCCAGGAGAATTGTGAGAAAGTCCCAGCACGATGAGTAGCTGCTTCTCAAACTTTAAGAACATGTCAATCACCAGGAGGGCTTATTAAACACAGCTTGCTGGACCTACCCCGAGATTCTCATTCAGTGAGTCTGGGGCAGAGCTCCAAAATTTGCATTTCTATCAAGCTCTCCAAGATGATGATGTTGCTGGTCTGGTGCACACTTTAGAGAACTGTCTAGAGAACAACAGCTCAAACTGGAGCATGGCAGAATGTTTCTGGGAAAGATGTTTTTCTCAAGAAGATAAAATGGATCAAATATCTAATTATTCAAATGTCCTGAACAGAAAGGCATATATATGGGGGAGAGTTAAATGAATGATAAGTACACAGAATCTAAGCAAACGAAGAAACCGAGGCCAGATGCAGTGGCTCTCACCTGTGATCCCAGCACTTTGGGAGGACAAGGCAGGAGGACTGTTTGAGCCCAGGAGTTTGAGACCAGCCTGGGCAACATGGCAAAACTCTGACTCTAAAAAAACAGAAAAAAAAAAAAAAAATTAGCCAGGCATGATGGTGCAAGCCTGTAATCCCAGCTGCTTGAGAGGCTGAGGCTGGAGGCTCACCTGAGCCCAAGAGGTCAAGGCTATTGTGAACCATGATCATGCCACTGCACTCCAGCCTGGGCAATAAAATGAGACCCTGTCCCAAATAAATCAAAAAACAAAAAGCCAAAAAAAAGGGATGATTATTAATTTCAGGAAAAACAGAGTGTTGTTCAAGAAAAGAAGGTATTCATAACTGATCCTCGACTTACAGTAAATAATGTTTACAGAATTGTAATAATGGAAACACCGAATAGTAACTTAAGCCAAATTCTCCTATAACCATATCGGGAGGGTGGTGGTGGTGTTGGGAAGAGTGGACATCTTAGGGAAGAGAGGAGGCGACAGAGCTAAGTCTTCTTCCTTTCCACAGTGGAGGGTCAATGGCTATTTCATGCAGCCAAAAAAAAAAAAAAAAAAAACCCAAACAAACAAAAGCAAGCAGCAGCAATATTGGCACGTTATCCAAAAATGGGAAGTAAATTCCCAAAATAACCAGCTGAAAGAGTTAACAAGGTCATTATGCTAATTATAATACATTAGCATGCTAAGTGACAGTGAGGGTTTACAAATGCCAGGAACATCAGGAAATTACCTTATATAGTCTAAAAACAGAAGAAACCCTCAGTTCCAGGAATTGCCCACCCGTTTCCCTATAAATGAATAATCCACTCCTCATTTGGCATATAATCAAGGAGTAACTAACTATAAACATACTCAGTGGAGGGGCCCAGGCTGCTGCTGTGCCTGTGGAGTAGCCATTCTTTTATTCCTTTACTTTCTTAACAAACTTGCTTTTACTTTAAGGAAAAGAAAGAGTTAACAAGGTCATTGTTGAGAAGCGGGGGGTGGGGGGGTGGAAATGGGTGGGGCTATTGCTTCTTTTGAACTACTACTTTAAATTATGTACATGAACAACTTTGATGTAAATAAAACAGGTTTAATGATGAAATAAGGTAAAATAATAAAATAAAAAGAAAACAACAAAAGGTAAGCAGTGCAAAATAAAACTGTGACTTGGATTAGAGGAGAACAGAGTGCCCAGAAAGCAGGGAGGTGCCTGATCTAACACGGCCGGGGAAGTCTCTCTGTGTCCTGAAGCCTCAGCAAGATAGAGTCTGAGAAAGGCCAGTGCAGGCAGAGAGAACAGATGTGCAGCAATGCGGAGGAGAGCAGGAGGAGGCAAGTGGCTGGGTGCTCTGGAGACGGTAAGCCACCCTATGTGCCGTGCTAGGAAACAGTGTATTGTCTTTGCAAGCAGCCAGGAGTCTCTGGAGGTGTTGAATCAGGAGAGTCACATTGTCCGACGTGCATTTTATAAATAAAAACTAGAGGGAGAAGACAGGAGGAAAGGAGTCCCATCAGAAAGAATGTTGTTGCAAGGATCAGGTCGAACTATAAGAAAATCCTATTGAAGAGGGAGACCCAGGGATCTCAGATTAACTTCCCTTTTCCTAAGACTGTAAACTGAAGCCCTTTTCATATGTAATTCCTAAGACTGTAAACCCTTTTCATATGTTAAGCTATGAACCTAAGATTCCTCCACATGTAACATCTAAAGTATAAGCCTATATAAAGAAGGAACCTTCCTTTGTTAGGGGAGCCTGGATATTAGGCAAATATGCCACCTTGCTCCCGGCCGAATAGACTCCTTCCTTCAATATTCGGTGTCGGAGAGATCTGTTTCTCGTGGCCGCTCCTGCAACACTATTAATCCTACTTTGAGCCACAGTCCCACCACGACTGCCACCCTGCTCTAAGCCTCAACTGACTAGCTGTGCACACCCAGATGGCTTGGTTAATCCCAGTAAGCCTTAGCTGAATCAGCTAGCAAATAAGATACTAACCACCACCTCACCAGGTAGCAGATGCTTAAGGCTCTGGCTTTGTGGTTCAAACCGACTAGGGTTGAAATTCAGCCCCACTGTTTACTCATCGTGGCACCCTGGACCAATAACCTTGCAGAGCCTGCACTGCCTCACGGTAAAGCGGGGATAATGACAGTTTCTCCACCTCATGGGCTGGAGTATAAAGAACCAGATGTCTGGCTGGGTGCGGTGGCTCAAGCCTGTAATCCCAGCACTTTGGGAGGCCGAGGCGGGTGGATCACGAGGTCGAGAGATCGAGACCATCCTGGTCAACATGGTGAAACCCTGTCTCTACTAAAAGTGCAAAAAATTAGCTGGGCATGGTGGCACGTGCCTGTAATCCCAGCTACTCAGGAGGCTGAGGCAGGAGAATTGCCTGAGCCCAGGAGGCGGAGGTTGCGGTGAGCCGAGATTGTGCCATTGCACTCCAGCCTGGGTAACAAGGGCGAAACTCCGTCTCAAAAAAAAAAAAAAAAAAAAAAAGAAAAAAAAAGAACCAGATGTCTGTAAACACTGCATAGGGCACCTAGCAGAGTCTGTATGTTACTTCACTTTCCCACTCTATCCAACAAGCCAGCATCTCTTAGCATCACTTAATCGCCAGCAGGATCTGACAACCCTCAATTCATCTACAAGCATCTTGCCTTATCTTAGTTTCAGCCCTCTATAGGGCAATGCTCACCATGAGTCACCACATTCTGAAAGTACCTGCACAGGGTCTGTTTCCTCTTCCCAGAGGCCAGAAATGGGGACAGCAAGACTATGTCATCTTGTTTCTGAACTCACAGACTTTACCCTCCCTGCCCCCCCCCCCCCCACACACACACACACTTCAAAGAGGCAGAAACTGCAAGGACCTAAAATAGTGGCCACACCACTGTTGATGGAATGCCTGCCACATGCCGGGTGTCGCCATGCACAGTCAATTCCATGAGGGCTTGCGCATATGAAGCATCCACTGGTCCCATTCAGGCAGCCACCCAGACCCTCATCCATGCAAAACACAGTGGCTTTGGGGTTAGATATGTCAGTCACTTTAATAAGTTACTTAACCACTCTGTTCCTCAGTTTTCTCATCTGCAAAGCAGCGACATTCATGAAATCAACTCAAACTGTTGTGGAGATTCATTGAGCTCATTTAGGCAGAGGATCTGGCTCAGTGCCTGGTACACAGTCAGCACTTAAGAAACGCTAGTATTGTCAGTGCTCCATCACAGACTTCCTCATGGGGTGTCATAACCCAAAGTTTACTTGCAAACTTGCAACTCGTCCTTCTTCTTGAGGATGTGAACCTCAAGCAGGCAACGCAGGGTCTCTCTTGCTCATGAATGTGGTCCCTAGGCCAGTGACTGGGTGTAGAAGGTGCCCGAAAACTTTTACTGTGGCATGAATAAATGAATGCATGAATGAATGCATCCCAATGTGGCAGCTGGGACTCGGGCCAGCCGAGGTAACCCACACCGCGAGGAAGGAAGAGGCAGAAGCAGGAACAGGCATTCAGGGGTGGGATCCCCAGCCTCCTCGGTCCACCACGGTGAGCGGGGCCAGCATCCTGTCCAAGCCCTGGGTGCTGCAGATGAGGAGACCGAGGCGTGGCGCGGTTGGGCTGCTGTCTAGGATCACACACGGAGCGGGATGAAACAGGCCAACGCTCTCTAGTCACCCGCCGTCTCCTTCCAGGAGCAGAAGGGGACCCCTGTGAGCGCAAAGTCCCCAACCAGGCTCAAGGGGTCGCAGAGCCTGGGCTCCAGCCCGCGGGACCCAAAAGCCCCGCGCCCCGCTCCGCCCCTCCGCTGCCCGGTCGGCGGACCCACCTGGTGCCGCGGTCGCCTGCGGCCCGCGCGGCAGCCGAGCCAGAGGCCGAGGCCGAGGCCCAGCGCGGCGCCCAGCAGCACCACGGGGGCCAGCAGCGCGGGCTCCGGCTGCAGCGCGTCCCGGCCCAGCAGCAACCGCGCGTCGCTCTTGCAGGCCGCCTCGCCGCGGGCCATCGGGGGCGCTCAGGCGGCCGCCCCGCCGCATCCCGCCGCCTGGTGCACAGTCCCCGCCAGGGCGGCGAAGCGGGACCCGGAGGCCCGGCGCGTCAGGGGCGCGGCGCGCTCCGCACTTTCCGGCCTGTGCGGTCTCCAGGCTCCAGCTCCTTTCCCCTTCCCAGCTTCGCTGAGCCCGAGGGAGGAGCCTAGATCACCGCCCAAAACTTTCAGCCACCCCCGCCCCAGCCCTGCCCTTGCACTGAGCATGCCCAGAGAGGGGCTCGCCTCCCAGCCCTGGACCCTTCCGGAGGGAGCCGGGTTTCCAAGGGGACTCCTGGGTTCCCGGGGAGAAAGAGGGACCCCGACCACCGAGGAAGGCGTTGCTCCTTTAACTTTATTAAGGTTTAGAATATGCCGAGCATTTCGAGTCACGATCCCATTAACTTTCTCCATAACCCTCTGCGGTGGGTGCACCATCCTCCTGATGACGCTGGGACCAACGCACGTCCACCCCACTGCCCTTGTCCCTAACCTCTACCCATCAGTCTTCCCGGGGCCACACCGCCCCCCGCGCCTCTGAACTTGCTCACGCAAAGACTCCCGTTTTAATCTTACTTTCTCCCAGGGAAGGTCAAGACAATAGAGAGACCGTTATACCCCATCTCCCCAGGATGATGGATAGATAGAGAGACGCTTACACCCAGTCCCTGCTAGGACCAGGACACTGCACCATCATCATTTAGTGAGCACTTGGGGAGAATCTGCTAAGTGAGTGTTGCATGGTCAGGGGATAGGCCAGCCACAACCAAACGGTATCAGGGGCATTGACCATCTCACAGTTGTTTAAAGGGATAAACAATTAGATGAGTTAATCACCCTGCGTTCGCTTTAAGCAAACATTTATGGAGTAGCTATTAGTTGTTTGCTTTTGTCAGGGGTGCGGGGGTAAAGCACACATGCATGTACAAGAATGTACACTTGCGCGCGTGCACACACACACACACACACACGCACACTCCTATCCTGTGGAGCTTAATTCATTGTGCGGGCTGGGCTCAGGGACACCATGAGGATCTGCTTCAGCAGAAAAGAGCTTTGTCCTTTCCGCCTGAATGTCCAGCTTGTTTCTAGTTTATTTCGTCATTTCCGCATGGCAACATGGGAACTGTGATCCAAATTCTTCATCCTCTTTAAAAATGAAGAAACCGACAGAGAGGAGAGGTGACTCATTTAACCTCTCGCAGTTACCGAGTGGGACAGAATTCCTGCCCCATTGACACCTGTGTCTCTCTGGCTTGAGGGCAAACTCTCTGCTATGTGGAGCTTCTGATATATTTCCTTAGAAGCATCTCCAGGGTTCCTGGGGACGCAATAACTTGATGCTCTTGCTTTATACTGGGTATTTCCGTGAATACTATGCAGGGTATTTCCATCAATGCTTAGGATTTAGTTTTTTAAAGGTGGTGTTTGGGCCGGGTGTGGTGGCTCATGCCTGTAATCCCAGCACTTTGGGAGGCCGAAGTGGGAGGATTGTCTGAGCCCAGGAGTTTAAGACCAGTCTTGGCAATATAGTGAGGTCTTGACTCTATAAAAAAATAGTAATAAGAAGAATTTTTAAATGTAGGGTTATTTGCATTTTACTTTATCATAAAGTTATTTGACTATTCAATTAACCTTTAAATTACTGACTGTTAAGTAAAATTGATGGTCCAGCAACTTGCCTGGCATTTAGCCTGTGGCCTTGTCTCATGCTGACAGTTGCCAGGTCACCCCTGGTGTGGGGAACTTGGCTATAAATTCTCAGGTTCTCAAATCTCGTGGCCTTGTCCATGCTAGGTTAGGAAAGGCCTGTCCTTGGACGGTCTGGGTTATGGGGAGAGGCTGCCAGGGGCCAGGCTCTCTGGCCTGAAACTTTAGACAGCCTAACCAGCCGCCCAGCAGGAAGGCTGGCAGGAGCGGAGCCTTCTCCCGTCAGCACGTGTCAGCGGCCACCCAGGACCTAAGCCGGGATAAGGATCAGACAAAAGGCTCCACCAGCCCTCCTTCCAGGGTCTTTCTCCTCCTGCCTCCCTTGGCAAAGCAACCCTCTGTGCCCACAGAGAGTTCCGGGAGAGCTTGCTCAGGGCTGCGTCTTCAGACACCAACTCCTTCCCCTCTTTCTAGGTCCCCAGAGAAGTGTCCCAGTGGCTGGCCTGACTGTCTCCCACTGGGAATGCGAGGGGCACCCGGTCAGGCCCAGGGCTGATCCTCAGCGGGCTCGGGCAGTGGGTGCTCCGCACTGAACGCAGCCGGAAGTGCGGGTGCTTTCCTTCTCTCCCGCCCCTCCGAGCCGCCCTGAACCCTCCGGGTGCTTCGCGACTCCTGGCCCCGCGCTCCAAATGCTTCTCCGTTTTCTAAGCGGGAATGGGGACACTCTGGAATCAGACCCCTGTGTCAGGAAAGGGTTTCCAGGGGAAGTGCGTCTGAGCTGAGGCTTACAGACCCGGGTAGGCGGTAGCGGAGGGGCCCCGGAGGCCCCGGTGACCTTGGGGAGCAGAGGAGTGACCAGCCCTGATTTGGGTTGGGCGCGAGCAACCTGATTTGGGTTGTGCCCGGGCCGCGCCAGCTCTCTCTCCCCCTCCCACGCCCGCCCGGCACCGCCGGCTCGCCGAGCCCCAGCTGCGGGTGTTTGTTCCAGAAAACTTTCGGCGGCGCCTCGCACTGAGCATGCTCGGCGGCGGGGCGGGCCCGGGTCCGGAAGCTCCGCGGCTCCGAGGCTGTGGGTCCCCGCAGGCGATGGGCCCCGCGGGCTCCCGGGAGCGCGCCACGTGGGTGCTGGCCGGGGGCCTCCTGGCTGTGGCGCTGGCGCCAGGGGGCCGAGGCGGTCTCGGCGCCAGCTCAGGTCCCCGCTGGCGCCCCCTCGGCTCGCAGCCACCCCGGGATGCCCCGGTGGCTCCCATGTCTGGGTCCGGCCTAGGGAGCGGGGCGGGGCCCGAGAGCAGCTCGCAGGTAAGGAGGACCCGCCCCTAAGCGCCCGTCCGACTCCCTTGGCTTGGCCCCGTCTACACCGGCGGTGGCGGGAGGCCCCTTAGTAGTGCACAAACAATGTGGAAGGGAGGGCAGGATTTGAATAGGGTGTCTCGCGGCCCTTAGGTGTATCCGGCCCTTGTCTCTTGTCCAGAAAGCTTCGAGGGAAACTGGAGACCTTCCTCAGGTGTGGCAGCTGCGGGCTTGGACTTCACCGGTGACCCGGGTTGGAATCCTACTTGGCAATTGAGGGGCTTTGGCCTAGGGCAAGTCACTCCTGTTTCCTGATCTGTGAAACGGGGCGGTCTTGGCCTCCACCCTGAAGGGTGGAAGTGGGTTAGATGAGTTCAGGCATGCGGAGCGCCTTGCAGAAGCCAGCACTGGGAGATTGCAGCAGTGGCTGTTGAAAGTGGGGACTCTGGGCTGGGCCGTTAGCTGACTGCACTCTCCTGGCTGATGGATTTAACCACTTCCAACTTCACCTGGCCCTCCCTCTGTGGTCCTAAACCGGAAAGGCATAGATTCCTGGCTGTCGACCTAGACTTGACCTCGCCCTACAAAGCTGGTCATCAGTCTTAGTGCCTTTTTCTCAGCTTGGATGTCTGCCCCTCCTCCCTGCGCACTGCCACCTCCTGGCTTCAGGCCCCATCATTTCACCTCCAGCCCTTGGTGGTGGTTTTCCCATGTCTCCCATCCATTTCCCCCAGACCTCTGGGAGACACCCTGCCACTCTCCTCCCTTGCTGGCACTCTCCTCCCCTGCTGGCACTCTTCCCTCCCCAACTTTATCGCTTCTGGCAGCACACCCAGGCTTCTATTCCCAGGACTGCCCTGGCCAGTGGACTAGCCCATTGATGCTGCCCTGGGGTCCTCCCAGCTCTCCCACAGGGCGTTGGGTCCTGTCATGTTGTGTTCTGTACCCCAGCACACTTGTGACACTTGTAGAGGTTTAGTCTCTTAAAAGAAACCTTGCTCCTGGTGGGGTATGGTGGCTCATGCCTGTAATCCCAGCACTTTGGGAGGCCGAGGCAGGCGGATCACCTGCGGTCGGTAGTTCGAGACCAGCCTGACCAACGTGGAGAAACCCTGTTTCTATTAAAAATACAAAAATTAGCCAGGCATGGTGGAGCATGCCTGTAATCCCAGCCACTCAGGAGGCTGAGACAGGAGAATCAATTGAACCTGGGAGTCAGAGGTTGCAGTGAGCCAAAATCGTGCCACTGCACTCCAGCCTGGGCAACAAGAGTGAAACTCTGTCTCAAAAAAAAAAAAAAAAAAAAAAAAAAAAGAGACCCTGCTCCCTTTCTGTCTTTAGGTTTTCAATGGAGAAATGTCATGTCAGTGTCCTGAGCTTTCAAAAGTCCAATGACAGAATATGTTCCCTGGGTCTTTTCACTTGCATCTGCTCTGTGAGGTGGGAGTATCTGGCCCATTTTGTAGGTGACGAAACCAGCACTCAGGGAGCTGCATTCCGTGGTCCCCAATTCAGAGCCCGCGTGCCTGGCCTCACCTGCTTAGCGCAGGCTCTTTCTTCTGAGAAGCCAGTGTCAGAAGATCCTCGTGCGCACTGACCTCTGTCAGCAGCGGTGGTGCTGAGGGTGGTCCCTGCCTGAAAGGAGACCAGTGTCTACTGGGAAGGGCCTGCAGCTGTCTAGGACCACAGTGTGCCTAGAGCACCTCACCCTCAAGGGCCACCTCTGCCTTTGCAGGAACCTGGTAATGAGCACCTGTGTTCAGGTGCCCTTGGTGTCTTGAGTGCCTCCCCTGGGCTCTGGTCCAGTGCAGTCCATCTCAGCTGTCCACATGGCCAGCCTTCCTCCGTCACTCTGGGCCTGTCTTGGACAGCCCTCTGCACACTGTATAGGAAAGAGCTTGGGCCAAGTGTGCCCCTGCCATGGCCACTCCTTCTTGGGCCTAGGGCAAGTCACAGCCCTCAGGGTCTCTGCTTGCTCTTCTGAGCAATGGTATAAGGCCTAGTTCCAGAGCACAGTTCCTGAAGGCATGGATTCGTTCTTCCTGTTGTAATTATTTGATACCTTCATGTCTCCCTCCTTCCATCTATCCATTCATTCTTTCAATATCTACATAGGTATTTATTGCACCTTTGCTAAGTCCCATGCTGTGTGCAGGGGGCTGGGAGACCAGTGCCTAATTGCACACAGTGATTGCCGTGAGGAGGAGAATGGGGAGCGGTG